ACAGGGAAACACAATCTTAAAATAAAACAAAGGCTGAAGTTAATCATAAGGCAGCTTAGAAAATAGATTTCGGTACCAATAGTTAAAGTTGCATCGTCTGGTTCAGAATACCAAAAATGGGGGAGGTATCAATGAAAGTAGCCATTTACTGGTGGCATGTGATGTCCTGTGAATCCATCTTAAATACAAAACTGATTTATCAACAGAAATCGTTGGACTTTCTGACAATGGTGGTGTTGGTGGGGGTGGGGGGGGGGGGGGGGGGGGGGGGAGACGTGGGACATTGATTTGAAAATGGACAATTCTCCATTCCAATCTGCAAACACTCATTCCTCTTCTTGACATAAATAACGTAAGGAATTCGTGTTTCAAATACCTCCCCAGAATTGTAACCCCCCCCTTCTCCCCCCCCCACCCCCACGCCCCCCAGGACTGCTTTATTTCAAGCGAGAGTAGCATTGCAAACCCGGGTATTTTAGTTGGTATCTGAGCCGCATAACTTCACATCCTGAAATATGAAACTAATGAAATTTCCATGTGGGCCGCTTCTCAGTCTGAATCCCTCGGCGCACTCGCTTTTGAAGGGCCTGATGGAATATTAACAAGTAGTATGATATATATCGCAATTTTTTTTTGCTACGCCTCCTGCAAACCGGTCTCTCAAACAGGCGCTTTCCAAAAAGCCCCATCGCCATTATCCGAGTGGAACCACTTTTAACTGTGAGTTTGCGAAATGAGAGTGGCAGATAGTCAGTCTGTCCTATCCTACTTCTTCTCAAGATTTCACCTCGCCCTTTTATTGGGTGCAATCTGTACGTTGCATTCAATTTATAACGTCAAACGTTGCAGTTTATTAGTTTCAGATTTGTTATCGGAATGAGAAGTGGTCTAAAGCGTCCACTTTTTCACTGTCGGATTTCACATCGATGAAGTGTGAGTACTGCCCAAACTCACAGCCTCACAGGAAAACTGTGCAGCGGTTATGAGCCATCCCTGAACCACCTTTCCTCATCCCTCCCCTTTGTGTTTAAGCGTTAGATGGTACTAAGGTTTAATGAGCTGACAATTACTTCAAGGCAGAGAGATAAAGAGATAGAGAGGAATAGGAAGAGGGAGAGATTGAGAAAACGCCCAGCAAAATAGACAAAAAAAAACCCCCAGAGGGTCACAGCCCAAACAACAAAAAAAGTTCTGTACAAAAATATGCTAAGATATTTGGATTTTTTCAATGACTTTTTGAGAACCGTCTCAATATAATGATATCCTATGAGAGTTGTGTCCGAGTCAATTTACTGTGTGTACTTACTTTTGATCTCGCAATAATAACGTTAATGGGCAACAATTCCTTCAAAAATATTAAGTGATTATAATAATTTGATCAAGAAAACCACGACTGTTTGTGGGATAACCTCTGTCTCGTGTCGCCCACAAAATATACAGTCAATTCACTTTGCTGTATATTATGTGATAGCGCTTTGAGACGTATCAACGACGTGATAAGGTGCTATGTATAACAGATGCATTATTATCGAAGATGTCTACTGGCGAGCGACAGTAAAGTGAAGCGATTTTACAAGGAAGCAGAATTGTAGCAACCAAACCAATGTAATGATAACTACTACTAGTATTAATAATAATAATAATAATAAATAACTACCTAATGCACAAACCCCCTTGTCCACCGTTTCTTCTCACACGATCTTAACACAAATTATTACTGACTTGATCCATCCAAAATAAGTTTCAAGAAAAATGTCCAAAGATGCTTGGTTTGCGAAGAAATAAATAATGTATCTGAGCAAACGTGGAGAGCATAAGGTACCCCAAACCACTCATTTATTTAATTAATTCAGACTTGTAATGTCTATTCAAACGTCCCCCCCCCCCCACCCCATTCAAATTAGCTGCCACTTCTGCTGCGTAACATTCACTTAATTTCACATTTTGCAAAACTTTTGAAATGTTCATGTATAAGTGCAATTTGTAGACACTGTAAACACAAAGTTGTTGCTTCAACTATTTAATAAATTCACCGGACTTAACTCAGCAACCATAAACATCTGACTTTAGGACTTTATTCCGAATATCTAGCTATTTTGTTTAGCTGGACAGTGGTGATAACTAATGTAATATTCCCTTTCTGATATTAAGTGTTAAGATAACTGGGAAGATAGACACACACACACACACACACGTGTTGACCAAAATAAATCGCTTAAACTCCATCTGTCTCTCTGCATGTCTGTTAATCTTGTCTACCTATCTATCCACAAGTATCAATGAACATTACACATCACAGCGGTGCCCTGGAGGGTGGGAGTAACTGAGATGCATATTAATGCAGATTAAAATCATATTTCACGCTGGCTGTTTTTTAAAAAAAATCTGCCTTGTTCACTTCCAAAGACGCGGGCACTTCACTTGACAGTAAAATCCTATGAAAGGCTCGGTACTAGATAATAATAATAATACTCCTTGTATTGGATATATCACCTTATCATGTCTTCGAGATGTCTCAAAGCACTTTATGCGAAATGTGAGGATTTAAGTTTTATATCCATGGACTTCCCTCTATAGAACAGATGAAGTGTGTATGGCTGTTGTTGTCTAATTTCTAACAGTACTATATAATAATGGCAGGAATCTGGTATGTAGAAAAATCGCACCTGTTAGATTAAACCTAGCAATGCTTCATCAAATTAAAACTCGCTTTTGCAAACTAAAGTTCATATCTGTCTATCAATAAATATATATGCAACAAAAATAGGCTTTGCAAATCCAGTTACTCCCAGGCAGCTTGTAAATGGATGGTTGCCTGAGCTCGGAAATTGTATCTCTCTCTCAGTGTTCCTTCAGTTCTGATGGAAACTTCCTCTGAAATTGGGCTCCTTTTAACCCACTGCCTTTTTCTCCCATTGTCTAAAATGCCCACAAATATATGAACGAGCCGAACACACCAGGGCAGCGACCCTGACATCTGCCGATTGCTAATGACCCCGACTTGCGAGTTAATGCAGACTAGATTCACGATTTGCAATGGTCGTGGTAAAATATATAAACATATGCACACGCACAAACACGCATCCCTCAAGCTCTGAACCCGCATCTCTCCCTCAAAAGTCAGCAGCAATCCAGTTGTAATCCCTGGAACAGCCTGGGTTGGTTTTTTTCCCCCCCTTTTGCTCCTGCTATTTTAAGCCAATCTATCATTTAACTTCCGTGACCACACTCAAACCAAGGCAAGGGAGATTCCAACCTTTCGTTACAGCTCACATCGCTGGTTCTTGACCCAGTCCTTATAGCTGAGAGTTGGCGCCTGGGCCATACTCACAGAAACGCCTCCCGACTCCTTTCAGATATGACTGCTTCGCCACCATCTTTCCTCGCATCAATTCCAACTCTCTCTCTCTCTCCCTCTCTCTCTTCACTCGTGTGTGTGTGTGTGTGTGAAGCAGAAAGAAACGGGACAGACTGAGGAATATTTATGAGGTTTATAAGAGATAATTTTGTACCCACCCCTGCGTTTTACAAGCCACAAATAGGCTTGGCAAGAAAAGAGCTAAACAATGCGGCTTTGTCGTAAATTATAAACTGTAAATAAAGTTTATTTCTTTAACAGTCCTACGCCAGTGAGCCATAAATTCCTGTTTAACTTTAGAAGTGCGCCGTGGACCCGTTTTCCCCTCTGTTACGGCCTTACGTGGACTTTTACTTTAGTTTCTAAACTCTTTCCAAACCGAGCGATCAACAAAAGGCCAACTTATGCACCCAATTTATTTTTGATATATATATATATATAATCAAACGTTTAATAAATAAAGCTTACAACAACTGAGGAATAAATTTTAATTAAAAAAGGTATTACAATCTCATTTTGGATTCAATAAACAGCCTTTCTTCATCCCCCCTAAAGGAAACTATTGATTGGATGGTCACATGAGGCTCTTGTTCAGCTTGACTGAACCAAGCATTAACCTTCTCTCACCCCAAAGTTCAAATGATTTGCATCAAAACAGAGGGTTAGTTGCTGTGTTTTTCCTGCAAATTATACATCCGATTTTTTTTAAATAAGCAGGAGGCTAAGGTACACACAGAACCAAGATATTTTAAGTTTACACTTTAGGATGTATTCCCCCACCCCCGACACCCATCTGAAAAAAACTTTCAATACCTTGAAAAAGTTCCAGGTTTTATTTCCACCTGAAAATCAACTTTTAATGCCCATTTTGATATCATTTTTTTCGCTTTCCTCCCATTTTAACTGCCGGCACTTTGGAATCACTTGGTCATCAAAATCTCTTGAACAGAAGGAAAGAACGGTGACCATAAAATTTAACCTTGTCAAAGTTTTAATGAGGATCCCTTCCCACACCCCCCCCCAAAAAAAATCCCTACTCTCTCGATACATTAAAACTGTTTCATATTCTTAATCTACTCCCGGTTTTATAATGCATTCGCTGGCAAAATCCTGGGGAAACTCATATTTGGATGGTTTCAAGTTACCCTCACGATGAATTGAATGTGCTATTTACTCACAAAGTGACATCTCCGTGTTTCAAATAGTTGCACTAAGAAAATAAATAGCGCAAATAATAAAAAAAAACACAAAAAGCAGCATTTTTAAACCGATCTGGGGCTGTGATTCTGAACTCCCTCCATCAAAGTCCCACGTTTCGCCCCTTAGCAGAGATTGTCGGTTTTTGTTTTGTTTTAATTTGCATTCATTTGCTTCTTTGTTTGGACAATAACGCGTTGGCTTGTAAACCGACCCTTCGCTGGGGAGAAATAATATGAATAAAATTCACAAAATAAAACTTTAACAGGGCTTTGAGACCTCTCGTTCCGTTTGTCCACTTGCAAAAGACTCGTGATATCTATTATTACAAACCAGACAAGGTTAGAAGCTTTTTTCTTTGCTTTCTGCCTCCCCCAACTGCAAACGAACAATAACGTTTAACGACATGCGAATAGTGTGTGTGTGTGTGGTGTGGGTGGGGGGATGTGGGGGAAACGACACGAACTCTGAACAACTGGAAGAGAAGCTTTTGCAAAAAAAACATTTCTTAACAGACATCCTTCCCTCCCAAAACCTTACCGCTCGCTACAGGCATTGCGCCGAGAACCTTAAGACATTGGCTGGTGCTGGTTAAAGGGTTAAAGGCTAAAAGTCCTGAATTTATGGCTGGGTGGGAGAGGGATCACCGTCCCTCCAATCTGCCACTTGCACAGAGGGTGAGACTTGTGCAGTGACTGACAGTTGTTCCTGCAAAGTGTGTAAGCGGGGCTCAAATCCCCGTCAGCGCCCACCACCAGCGAAGGTGGGGAGGGGAAATTCGCCATCAGACTAAAAGCTTTCTTCACCGGTGTTGCCAATCCACAAGTGATACGTTTGCACTTCTGCGCCTCTCTCGGCGAATTGCCCCTTTTGCCCGTGGCTGTCCCCCATGGCTGCAGCCCACCAGATGTCCTCTCCAAACATCCTTTCAAGGTATCTCTCTTTTCCGGCTCAGCGCTCCCGGCTTTATGTCTCTTCCTGCCTCTATTATCCCAGCCGTCAGGGGCAGAGGGGCTGTTTTGTAAAGTGCTGTGGTTTTGTATTCCCTTTGAGGTAGTGAGTTCCAGGGGGATGTGCTCACACAGTTTGCCGACTGCTTGGACGGTCCCACCGTTTTCATTCCAATTCGCCCTCCGCGCGTCCGCTCCCTGTTTGGCTCTGCGTTGCTTTGCTTTGCCATCACAGCCCTCCTCCGCTCCTTCCTTCCCTCCCGGTGGCCGGGTGTCGGCTCTGGGGAGGCGGCTGGGGAGGTGCTCTGGCCCGGGGTCGGGATCGGGGTCGGGGTCGGGGTCTGGCGAAGGGGTCGGGGGCCCAGAGCTCCGGCACCGTAGCTTAACCCTCCCATCTTGTTGCGCGTTCGGATCCAACGGAGCCCCGTTGTCCACCGGCTCGTTGGCTGTCGAGTCCTTCTTGTCCTCCGGCACTGGGGGCAAAACAGCCGCCCGGGGCCGGGCCTTTCGGTGTAAAGAGTTCCTTTGTTGCCAGGATTCCGCTATCTTCTCCAGGCGAGTTAGAGCGGGACAGTCTCCGCGCTTTGCCCACTGACTGGGGGTCAGGAGTGGCCAAATGTAACTGTGGTTCTCTCTGTCTGACAGGGAGTTGGCCACTGCGCTCACGTTACAAAGGGACCGACTGGAGCCACCGCTTGTCCTTTCTCGCTCGACCCGACGAGGATGGGGGTTAGGAGGCTCGGAGCAGAGCCAAGGTGGGCGAGTGGGTGGCCTGTGTCCCGGGTGAGGTGACTGATCGGGCCCCGGGGTGAGCTGGGGGAGGGTGGCTCTCCTGAAGCGGGTGCTGTGCAGAGAGGCGCCGCTACAAACCGAACTGGAATCGGAGGCGCTGGAGCTTTCGTCTTCGCTGCTGGAGGCGGAAAATAGCGATTCTCCTTCCTCCTCCTCCTCCTCCTCCTCCTCATCATCATCATCATCAGTGGATCGGGAATCGTTATCGGGATCGAAGCTGCAATCAGAATCGCTGGAGCATCTGACAGCACATTGAACGGAATGGGCTTCACCCAAACCCTTTGTATCTCCAGAGAGGACCATCCGGTGGACACATGTCAGCGTTGGGGAGGTGCAGGAGCAATGGTAGTGATGACCCAGGCCGCTCGCCAACCTTTGGCTCTCGGTGCAACAGGAATATTTGTACCTGGACTGAAGCGGGCGGTTGGTGCTGGTGGTGGTGTTATTGAGGCGAGAGGCAATGGCTGGATGGAGCGCCTTGGGGAAGCCACACAGCCCCACGTTGTGCAAAAAGACATCTCGCTGCCCGGACCCGGGGCAGGAAGAGGATCTCGCCACGTTTGGCAAGTTCCAGAGGCTTTCCCCGCAGTTGCCGGCGAGCGAATGGCAGCGTTGGCCGTTGACAGTGGCATTGTTTGGGATGGACCTGCCTCGGGGCTTGTTGTCCTCTTCCTGCCCCCAGAGGAAAGCGGATCCCCGGGACTCCAGCAAAACCCCTTTGCAGAACCCCGAGAAATAGCCCTCGGCGGCCGGTCTCGTCATCTGCGTTGCCCCCTTCGCCTCCTTGACCTCAATGCTCCCCTTTTGGTTGGCGCCCGGTCGTTTGTAAACGGTGTACAAGGCTTGTAGATCCTCTTTGGAAATGAGAGAGCATTTGACTGCCCTCACCGGCACCGAGTTAATGGCTTTGAGACCCCTCAGCTCTCTGAGGTCACAGCGGCGCCTTTTGATCTTCAGGTGTTCCATTCGCTTTCGGATCGTGGTCTTGGGCACATGTCTGAATAGCCCCGTCAGTACCTGGGACAAGGCGAACATCGGCACCCCATTGATCCGCAGGTAACCCAGTCTCACCCCGTCAAGGTCCAGGTAGCCCGATTCCAACCCCGCCATCCCGCCCTTTGCAATACAATCCACGCACCTTGGAATAACGCCAACCATTGTGTCCGCCATCCAAAGCCAAACCCTCTCGGCTCTTGTGCCATTAAACGCTCTTAGAATTAAAATGGGATGTAAACACTAAAAAAAAGCTCAGTTGGTTTCGCAAGTGTTGGAGATTTTGGGGGGTGGGGGTGGGGGGGGGAGAGCATTTTGAGGGGAGGACGGGACGGGACGAAGGGGAAATAAAGATTAAAATACAACCTCAAGCAAACCAGGAATGCGATGTGATATATAGCGCTGCCTTCACCACCTCTCTGTTCTACCTTCACCAAGGAAACTTCACAAGAGTACAGCAATCTTAACGGAGACACCCACCAAACGATTCCTCTCTACTCAAAGCTGATTGGGTACTTTCTACATGTGATGCAATAAAAGCTGGTACCCCCCCCCCCCACCCCCCATCCCCCACCCCGACCCCCAGCCCCTGAAACACTCATAACCGCCAAAGCAGCAAGTATGCACCGCATTAATATAACACACATGCACTTCCGCCGAGCAAAACAGCTTTACTATCTGCCAGACGTTAAGGCATTTTTTGGGGAGTGGGGGTGAAATGTGCATTGTCAGTCTTTCTCTCTCTCTCTCTCTCTCTCTCTCACACACACACACACATACACACAACACAACGATTCATAAATCCAGGGAGCTGCGGGGATATTGCATATGAAAGCTTAAAGGCATAATGTAAAATTAATACTTCTCATAATAATCCTTGCATTTGATATAGCTCCTTATTACTTCGTTAAGACGTCTCAAAGTGCTTCGCAGCACGGTGGGGTGAATTGTCTGTGTATTTTGGGGGCGATTAGTAGAAATAATGATAATATAAATGATAAAAATGTGCAAGTTTTGTTTTCACCGTCTATTATTAAGGACGTTTTGAGAATGAAATGCTTTAGTTGAATCTATGGGCGCACTGTGCAAATAGATTCTGATCGGCGAGGTGCTTCGTTGGGGGGGGGGGAGGTGGGGGGAGATCACAATAAAATGAAATATCCCCCCCAAAACTGTAGCTTTATTTTAATATAAAAGCAAACAAAAAAATGGAATGGGTCAGTTATTGAGTTTTCCTGTCGAACCACGTGTTGTGTCTAGGTTTGATCCATTGTTTGAAATAACATTACTTTGGAGGATGGGTTCAAGGAAATCAAAGTTAATTTGAGATTTTTAAGCACATAATATAATTGCATCGATGTGGGACACACATTAACACTCGGGATCAGACTCCACAGTTATTGTTTGGTGACATCCAAATCCCAATCTCGCATCTCTCATCGGTGCCAAGCGAGTGTGTTACTGAGGATGGATCTCAGTTAATTCCAAAGCTAATGCAGGAATATTGAATCATCGCCAACAGATGTGGTGCATTGCCATTCTCTCCTGACCAGATTGTGAGATTAAGTTTCCAGTCACGTAAATACTGGCAAGGTCTTGGATTTTTTTTGCCCCTTATTCTAAAACCAGAGTGATTTATCTTAAACCTCTGTGGTTTACATATATTGGACATATAAATATATTATATGTACTGTATGTATACCAATTTTATATATGACAATTCTGTATATCCACACGTCCAATTAGTAACAAAATCCCGCCTTTGCTACTAGGATTCCGGCTCAGGTTCTCTGATCTCCTGGCTATTATTGATATAGAAACAGGGGTAAAAAGGCCAGCAAATAAGTCTTTCATTCTAAATCCTGGGGTCTTTAAATTTCAATCCCACTAATAAATATCGGAGTAATGCATTCTAAGTTTAAGGAACCAATTCCCATTTCTAAATAGGAAACTGGTATTTGATGGTCATATCTGATTTGCTTTGCAAAGCCAGTAAGTACAACGTGATTTAGTAGATAATATTATTATTTATTTTTCAACCCCAAAAACTTGTAAAATTGGACAGATTGCCTTTTTGTGCTACAATGGCCCAAGGCATTAGATGTTTCAATCTATCTCATTTAACAGCATTAGAATAGTCAATCTTATTGATTCCCCCCCATACAATGTTAATATTAGATACACACTTTAAAATTGGAACAAACCCGAAGGGTTCGGTTACTTAAAGCAAGAAACCAAAGCCACTCTAGATTATATTTCGTCTGGGATATTTGATCTTCCGCCTTCTTTACCTCCTCAACGTTTGAATATCGAACCTTTTAAGACGACTATTGTCTGACTTTTGTTTCTCTCCCACACAACTCTCCTTTATTTAAGGACATGTATATATTCACTCAAGATTCAGAAAAATCACTCAACATTAATTAAACTCACTGAATAAATCTTAAATTTGGAATACACAAATATATGTGTACGAAAAAGAAGATAATGGGGGTGGGGGCGGTGGATATGTGCAAAACTGGATACCGTTTCTGATATTTATTCAGTGTACTTTTCCCACTGGGTTAAATAACGCTGTCAGTTTTAATCAAATAAATTATTTGTGCCAAACACCCGGGAAAGTCTGCTTTTTCTCTTTCACAGGCACACTCACAGGCTCTTTATTTACAGGCGAGAGCCTTTTTTACCTCTTGAATTTTTAAAAAATATAAAATTCAGCATTTTGCGAAGTAAGATTCGCACCAGAGTGACAGAGAGAAAAAGAACATTTTTTTCCCCTTCTAAACCCATTGTATCAAATTATACCGGTCACTTTCTGAAAGGTCACTTTCCACGTAAAGTTTAAATTAGGCGTTAATTACACATCCATCTTTCTCATGGATTATATCATTCCTGCTCAGATGAGTATGATACACATTTTTTAATATTTTACGCTTGTGATTTCATTTCCTGACCCTTCCCCGAACTGTGCCCATCTGGTTTGAAATCAGTTCCGTTTCATAATCCGGATTTTAATTGTGTTTTTACTGTAAAGACAATCTTAAATATAAAATAATCGGCCTGTCAGAGAAGAAAGAGAGAAGAATGAACATTACCCTCAGATAGTATGGAATATATGTCATAGGATGGACAGAAAGAAACAGGGAGTTAGAGAGAGAAATAAAAAAAAGGCACTCAATAAAATGCTCCACACCTACCTACCCAACCAGGGCTGAAATGCAAACTTATAGGTAACATCATGTTGTTTTTTTGTTTGCAACTTTAACCTATTTGGGCCCTGAGGGTGGAGGGAAGCAGAGGACAAGGGTGTGTGTGTGTGTAGAGAGAGAGAGAGAGAGAGAGAAGGTTGAATACCTCTCGATTCTTAATTTAGCCAAGTCAAGAAACCGTGAGGCTTCAATATCTGTTTATGTTGAGGATCAGCCATTTTGTCAGACCCTAAACCCAACACGCATTATTATACAACATATTGCAATGTTTTCAATGCAACACACCGTGTGGATTTCGCCCCATTGGAATATATATATATATACACACACACACACACACGCGGCACATTGCTCTGTCTCCCAGTGATGCCGAGGGAACAGCGTTGACAAGAGATGCAATGGAGAGAGAGAGAGAGAGGTAGTAATCCAGAGTCCAACACAAGGCATTGCATCCACACAGGGAAACCAAGACAGGAGCAATGCTCAATTCGGTAACGTTTTCTATAGAAAGACCCCACCCCCCCACCCCCTACCCCACACACTCCCTCCTCACCCTCCAGACTGCCCCCCGGGTAGGTGGGGGTGGGTGGGGGTAACCCTGGGAGCCAACACTAATGAAGAAAAACACATCAGGTGATAAAGTACTCACCATTAACCTACCAACAGCGCTTTATTCGTGCCGAGTGTGATTTGAGTTTAATAATCCTTTGCATTTGATCAATTTTTTTTAAGCTGCTGATCGAAGGCAGGAGAGAGCTGTACACATTATGGTCTCTGCCTGGCACAGAAGGATAGATTCAGCCATGGTTATGTCTATTTTTTTATCAGCCTCTTTGTTTCCCCCGGACAGAAAAGGGTGAGGCTTGAGCCCCCGTCAGTCAGAGACCTGGTTCACGATCCTGCCGTCCAGGGAGGTGGAGGGTGAGGGGAGGGGAAAGGTTGGGGGTGGGGGGTGGGGGGGAAGATCGAGGTGGAAAATGCACCGATTCGCAACGACTGCGATCAGCGAATGCTTCAATTGTTACTTTTATTTCAAGGCTATACAGTACTTTTATTTTAATGGCTATAAATCCTTCAACGCGTCTGCACTGTACTCCCCTTACACAGCACATACGTACCAAACTCAGGCACACGGTAGTTTTATTCAAACACACACGCACAAATACGTTCAGCAATACAGTTATAAACACGTGCAATCACTACAACACACACAAATACTATATATATATACACATACATAGTTGTAAACCAATGCTCTCATTATTGCACGCGCAAACTCACTATTACACACACTATATAAGTGAACACCTTTTGCACGATACACACATACACAGTTGCACAGAGAAATATCTCACGCCACTTGTATAAATGCACACTGACACACACACAGCGAAAAACTGGTGTTTTTCGAAACCACATACCCCCACCCCCCCCACCACACACAAACACACATCTACATCCATAACCATATACACGCGCATTTATACATACGAACACGCATACAAATGCGCATATGCATACACACATCTGCATAACTCATGCAATTATGCATATACACACATGCATATACACGCACAGAAATACATATACACACCACAACTTGCACTTATATTATATATATATACACTGTAAATGTAAACACATTTGTCGAGACCACACATGACACACTCAAATGCACACATGCACACCGGCGTGCGAAGACACACATGGAGAAAATTCACATTCAAACACGCGTGGTTTTGTGGAGATTTAAGTGATCAATCGGGAGCATTTCATTCGAACTCCAAATTGCAGTTCAGTTCAGACACACTGCCTCAGAACCTCTCCCCCCACCCCACCCCTCCCCTCTCACTCACTCACTCACGTTCGGCATCACCAGCCTCACACAGGGTGTGGGGTTGGAGGTGG